CTAAACTTATTGGAAAGTAAATTAGATAGAACTTTTGAAGACATTGGCATAGGAGAAGACTTATGAACAAATCCTCAGCAGCATGAGAACTTGCACAAAGAATAAACAACTGGGATTTCATTGTAGTTAAAAGTTTTGAGGTGCAAGAGAGTCCATCAACAGAGCTAAGAGGCAACCTACAATGTGGGAAAAATATTTTACCAGCTACTCCTCAGACAAAGGACTACTATCTAGAACTAATATAAAGAACTAAAAAAAAAAAATCAGATCTCCCAAATACAAAGACCCTGTTCAAAAATGGGCATCTGAAATGAAGATCTTTCTCAGAGAAAGAAGTAAAAGCAGTAAATAAATATATGAAAAAATGTTCACGATCACTGGTCCTTCGAGAGATGCAGATGAAAACAACATACCTCACCCCAGAAAGAGTGGCTGCTATAAAGAAATCACCAATAACAAATGCTGGTGGGGCTGTGGGGAGAAAGGAACCCTTCTCCATTGTCGGTGGGAGTGCAGACTGGTGCAATCACTATGGAAATCAATATGGAAATATCTCAAAAAACTAGGATTAGAGGTCACATTTGACCCAGATATCCCTCTGCTGGGCATCTTTCCAAAAGAATTAAAAGGATCATATACCACTGTGATATATGTTTACTCATGTTTATAGTGGCACAGTTTGTAATAGCTAAAATTTGGAAACAACCCCAATGCCCGTCAACTGGTAACTGGATAAATAAGATGTGGTTTTTCTGTAAAATCGAGTACTACTCAGCCATAAAGAATGAGAAACTAAGCCAGGTGTGGTGGCGCACACTTGTAATCCCAGCACTCAGGAGGCTGAGACAGGAGGATTGCTGTGAGTTCAAGACTAGCCTGGGCTACATAGTGAATTCCAGAGTTCCAGGTCAGTCTCTGCATAGTGAGACCCTGTTTCATAAAATTAAAAAAAAAAAAAAAAGAATGAAAAACTAGAAACATTTAGAGCTAAATGGATGCACATGGAGGCCGTACTCTTAAGTGAAATAAATACAAATCACTTGAGTAAATACTGAATAGTTTCGAAAAACTAAAAGTGTAAATAAAGTACAAATGGTGTAATTGGGAGTATGAAATAGAAGAAAATGGCTAAAGAGGAAGTGGGAAGGGGAGGGGAAAGGAAATAAGGGAAAAATGTGAAAAAGAAAAAAATGAAAACCAAGTCTTTGTAAATAGGGACGGGGAAAGCGGGGAAGGGAGGGCAGTGGTATGGGGAAAAACATATATCATGTAAAGGTACAAGATTCCAATGATAAATGTAACTATTGTTTGCTATAAATGTAACAATAAACTTAATGGAAAAAAGCAAGAAAAGCATAATGCTTCATTGCTGTTAGATCTATAACCTTTAGACTTTTATGAAAACACTATTGAGAATATCTTCTGAGCTTTAATGGATGTGATATATGAGAACACAAAATGTTGACTATAAACAATAGCTACCTCCAATCTAAGCAAGAGTAGTCTTCTAATAATAATGCTTTTTAAAAAATTGGTACTGGAAATTGAATTCAGGGACTTTGCTCTGAGCTGTATCCCTGTCCCTTTTTTATTTTGTTTGTTATTGTTTCAAGGTCTTGCTAAATTGTCAAGTTACTCAAGCTGGCCTCAAACTTGCTATCCTCCTGCCTCAGCCTCCCAGAATGCTTAGGATTATAGGATTGTGTCACCATTTCCAGCTGTAATATTGCATGTTATATTTCAATGATTCATTTGAGAAGAAACTAAAGAATGCCCTCGAGGTGTGATCCTTGGATATGTACTTTTTCTGATAAAATTGTTTTGAAATACAAAAGCAGCACCATCATATTTTATGTTCAGATTAGAATATAGTAAAATATAGTGTATGTGCATACAGTTATGAAAGTTTTAATACTAGAACAGATTTATAGAAACACCACCACAATCAGAGTTCTCCTATTCCAAAAAACTCCCTTGTGTCTCTCTTTTTTAATGACTACCTCTCCTCTACCCCAATAATTGCAAATATTGATCTGTTCTCTGAGCTCTCTTTATTTGTGCCTTAGTATTAGTTCTGAGATTCTAAATTTCATACTGTCTTATGCCCGATTCCAGGGTATTCTGGAAGGAAAACAAAACAAAACAAAGAAATGGTGGGAAAACTCACTGCAAGTCCAATAGTACTTTGAATCCTTGTCTTGTCTGTAGCAGCCTACCTGCTGCTTTTTGTCCTTTACAATCCTAAGTGTTCCATGAGTTCCATCTAGGTTTTATAGATACATTCAATGACAAAGATGCAGTGGAGTGTGCCTACTACATCTTATCAGAACTGGAGAGTATATCACACTTGAATTGCTCTGATGGACTGAATGTTTTGTGTGTTGTCAAAATTCATAAGTTGTGGGCCAGGGATTTAGCTCAGTGGTCCCACTTCCTGCCTTGCAAGCACAAGGACCCAAGTTCAATTTCTGGTACCCCCCCAAATCCATAAGTTGCAGCCCTCATCCCATAATGTAATGGTACTTGGAGGAATGGCCTGTGGGGGCAATTATGGTTAGATAAGGCCAGAAGGGTCAGACCCTCAGCATGTGACTGACGCCCTTTTAAGAAGAGACACTACAGAGCTAGCACGCTCTATTTTTCTGTTTCTCCTCTTTATAAAGATGCAGGGAGAAAATGGCCATCTTTGGCCAAAAAGAGATTCCCTCACCAGGAACCAAATCGACTGGCATCTTGATCCTGGACTAACCAGCCTCTCAAATTTAGAAAATACCTTTCTGATGTTAAACCAGTCTGTATGGTATTTTGTTATGGCTTCCTGAGCAGACTAAGATAACTGCCAAAATATTAATGAAAAAATTCATAGAACTATATATTATGTCCCTGTTCCCAACACAAGCACTATTTTTTTCTCATAATTCTAACTAGCCAAGCTCAAGATATATTAACAGATTATGCTCATTTTTAATTTTCAGACAGAAAAAGAAGGAATCCTTCCTAAAAGACTGGTAATTTTAAAAAGCCAAATAATTTTTTTGTGTTTATATTTGTTGTTTACTTGATTTTTTGAGGTAGGGTCTCACTATGTAGTCCAGGCTGGCCTGGAACTTGAGTTGATCTTCCTGCTTTCAGCCTCCTAAGTACTGGGATTACAGGTGTGCCCCAGCATGTCTGGCTTCAAATATAATCTTGATTTATCTATTTTGAATTAGTTTTTTAAAGATTGATTGTTTGGTCTTCAGTGCCCCTAATTTGCTAAATTTTTTACTATTTTTAAAAAGGCTAAGATCCTGCTTGGGTCAATTCTTTTCATTTTTTAATCTTTGAGAAGCTTGCTTCAAAGACAGCATGTGGTTAGCATTCCACATTCCATTTTTTCCATATACAGCCTGCTCAAATATAAGAAATGAGGCCAGTGTTGAATATATATAAATTATGGAGATAGAATATAAAGAAGTGAATTTTCTGTAGATAATGGTTCATAATAAATATGTATCTGACAAACAAGTAATTCTTGACCATGAAAAAGGCACATGAGCCAGGTGTGGCGGTTGCATGCCTATAATCCTAGCCACTTGGAAGGCTGAGTTGGGAGGATCATGAATTCAAGGCAACATAGTAAGGCCTCATCTCAAAGAAAAGTAAAAAAAAAAAATGATAACAGGGCTGGGAGTAAAACTTAGTCATAGGGGGTTTGTAAGGGAGGTCCTAGGATTAATACCCAGCAGTACACACACACACACACACACACACACACACACACACACGAGTCCTCATAACTGGACTAGAATTAGGCTATGTCTCAAGTGGGCCAAAGAGTCTAGACTACATCAGTGTGCTTTGGTACCTAAGGCGGTTTCATGTTGTGCTCCATTGCTCTCCACCAGATGGACTTCTTTCTTTCCTCCCGTAGTAGTTTTTCCATCTCATCCGTTCCCTTTTTTCCCTTCTTCACAGTGTTTACCTCTGTGAACTCGAGTTAACTGGTACAATGAGATTTAAAGAAGCTGCCCATCCTAGAGGGCAGTGCTTTTTAGCTATCTACATCTCCCTTCTTTTCCTATTGCCCTTCTCATTGCGCCTTTTCGTGTTGTTCTTCACCTGGGAATCAAGCTTTAGCTCTACCACTGTTGGCCTCACGATATAAACTAACACTGTTTGACTCAACCTTATGGATCCTAGTCCTGGAATAAGAATACTGCACAGTAGTTCCCCACACACGCACACTCTAGAGTTTTATTAAAGCTTTCATTGTACCATCGCTAATCCAGATAATCTGTGAAATCAAACCTCAGTGTGATTTAGCCACTTCCATCTTGGGGTTAAAACTAAAAGTGAAATATTATAGAATAATCTCACCAGAATTTATTTGAAAAAGAAAAATGAAACTGTTGGATAAAACTAGATGTCCACATTCTTGGAACTGTTACTTATTTTTTATACGCTGCAATTTAGGAAAAAGCTACTTTAATATGCTTGGTTTGTAATTAACAAGGACTTATAGCACCTCCTTGTTTTCCCTTCAGGGCACAGAATACTAAGTCTGACATTTCCTATGTTGATGTTCCCTTGGGAAACAAAGGTAGGAATTGTGATTAATATCTTTCCAGATAACATCCCATACTAGAAGGGAGAAAGAAAATATTATACAACAGGACACAACAATGTAAAGTAACGAATGTGTGATATTACTGTTTCAGGCCTATATTATATCCAGCTGGTAAGATATATCTGTGTATTTAAATTTTCATTTGAAAAATATGTAGTCTTTCACTTACTGAATTTATAAATATTGAACTCTTTATCTGATATGTAAAAAACTGCTAGGAAATACGATAAATGCAAGAGTACAAAATTTTGCACAATATGTTTTTTAAACTCCAAAAAATTTCAGTGGAAATGGGAGTCGTTTCACTGAAGTAAAAACTAAGATGTAGTTAGAAATTGTCAGAGCTTAACCTAGAAAGCCTAGATGCTTTTCAGCCGAAATGCTGCTGTACCTTCTAACATCTGCAGATGATGCTGGTTCCTGCGGAGATCACGCGGATTTGTCTTTTGCACAGTTTAGCTGGGCCAAGCATTGTTTGGGACTTCAAGACACGTTCCAGGGAGCTACCTAGTCCAGACAGGTAGAAACATCTCTTCAACCTGGCCCCACAGGGAACTCTGATTGAGTGGAAAAAGAGGCAGTGTGCATTCAATTTTTAAAAAATTACTATTCACTAAAGTTTATATTTTATACAATATAAACTTCCTTTGTTTTACCCTAATGTCCTTTTATCTTTTCCAGGGTCACACTCAGGATAGCACATAGCTCCCAGGTCTCCTTAGACCCCCTTGGATGTAAGAACTCCTTTTTTTCTAGTGACCTGGACCATTTTGAGGAGCCATGGTCAGGGATTTTGTAGAATATCCCTCAAGCAGGGCCATGACTGGTGAAAACAAATAAAAAAAACCTTTCTTGCAGCACTGGGGATCAAATGTGGTCTTGAACACGATAGGCAAGTACTCCACCTCTGAACTACAGCCCCATCGCTGTGTGTATTCTTGCTCAAGTTGCTCAATTTTTGGTTGGACATGAGACTTAAGAGAAGCATCGGGCAGGCCAATGTACTTGTGCTATTTTTACAATACCAAACCTTGACTTTAGAATGACTCAGAGGTAAATGTGGCTCACTGAAATGCTTGACTAGCCGGGTGTGGTGGCGCACGCCTGTAATCCCAGCACTTGAGAGGCTGAGGCAGGAGGATCGCCATGAGTTCGAGACTACATAGTGAGTTCCAGGTCATTCTCAACTACATGTTGAGACCCTGTCTCCAAAACAAACAAACAAAAAACCCCACTACCACCACCAACAAAGAAAACCCAAAAATAAATGCTTGACTAGAATGTTGAAATGACATACAATTATATTAGTAAAGGGCATAAACAATTACTGTTTTATTAGGACTTCTTAAAGGACCAGGGGAATCCTTGTTTTTCCTATCTTCCATTTACCCTGATAGTATTCATCATTTAGCATTTATCATATGTCAAACATATGCAAGGTGCCAGGGTTGGCAGCAAAGAGAGTACAATTGAGTAATATTTAATAACAGCTAACAAGCTGGTTGTAGTGGTGTATATGCCTCTGATCCCTACACTCAGGAGGCTGAGGCAGGAGAATCACCATGAGTTTGATGCCATCCTGGGCTACAAAGTGAGTTCAAGTCCAACCTGAAATATATAGTAAGACCTTGTTTCAAAAATCTAAAAACAACCAAAACAAAATCCCCAAACCCTTCAAAACAGCTGATAGCTAACACTTATAAAGTTCTTACCCTTTCCCAGGCTTGTTCTAAGTCTTCTCTCCCCCTTCCCATCCTCTTCCTCCTAGCAACCCTATGATGTGGATACTACTATTTATCCCCACATACAGATGGGGACACTGGGGCATAGAGATGAAATAACTTGCCAAAAATCTCACAACTGTTAAGTGGCAGTACAAAATTCAAAATCAAACTCTGTCTCCAGAAAGTGTACTATTAAATTTGTTGTGGTTTAAATATGAAATGTCCCCCAGAGATTCATGTATTGAAGACTTGATCCCCAATACAGGTATGTTCAGGGACAGAGCCTAGAGAAGTGATTGGACACTGTGGACACTGACCTCATCGATAGATTAATCTATTGATAAACTGAGAGCTGAATGGGTCCCAGTTGGAGGAAGCAGGTCACTGGGAGCACCTTTGATAGGTAGATCTTGGCCTCTCCTCTATGACTCTTTCCTCTCTATTTCCTGGTTGCAGCTTTCTTCTGCCACACCCTTACACTGTGATGTTTCTGCCTGTCAAAGGCCTAAAAGCAGTGGAGTCAGCTGATGAGGAAACCATGAGCCTCAACAAACCTTTCCTCCTCTAAGTTGAATGTGTCAGATATTTTGTTCCAGCAATGGAAAAGCGACTAAAACAAACCTCCATGCTAAGGAAGCTCCCCAAGAATTTATGGCCTGAGTATACATAATAAGTACTTCCCTTAAAAAGGTAATACAGTGGGGAAATGGATGGAGCACAAAGAAGCAAAATATGACTCAGATTAGTTTCCTATAAACCAATACCAAGAACATCTGACTCAAGAAATGCTTCAAGGGGTTGGGGATATAATTCAGCAGCATGGCACCTGTCTGGCAAGCACAAGTGTAAGGTGCTGAGTTTGATCCTTGGTATATAAAAATAAATTAAATCACTTCTCTGCCTTTTGACTAAGATCCAGTGAGATACTTTACTTTCGGTCCTAAAAAGAATGGACTAATCAGTACCAAATGAAATAAGAAGTTGGAACTATTTGCCAACAGATGGCAATCCAGTTTAATTTTATATCCAGGCGATAACCCTTATCTTACCACACCATCCTTTCGCATATACACATTTTGAGTGTTAATAAATACAATCAATCCAATAACATTTCCTTTCTTTAAAAAAAAAATAGCATTAGTAAGTATAGAACCCAGGCATTTTTGCACACTAGGCAAGCACTCTACAATTAAGCTACACACACACACACATTTTTAATTTTATATCCAGGCGATAACCCTTATCTTACCACACCATCCTTTCGCATATACACATTTTGAGTGTTAATAAATACAATCAATCCAATAACATTTCCTTTCTTTAAAAAAAAAATAGCATTAGTAAGTATAGAACCCAGGCATTTTTGCACACTAGGCAAGCACTCTACAATTAAGCTACACACACACACACATTTTTCATAT